GGACGGAGAGCCAATACTTACCAGCAGAGATGGGGCTGGCGCCTCCGCAGAGAATAGAAAAGAAGAGACCGATCAACATGCGCTTCCATTCATTACGGTTAAATTTTGCAATGAACGCAATCAGAGCCCAGACGCTATACTTGGCCTCTCTATCTGCAATGCGAGCTCGCAGCGCAATACTGGAGGCAGACTTTTGCGTCGGCGACCGCACGAGGTTGTTCTCACTGCCACCCTCAGCACTGAAAATTTCACTGTCTTCGACCTTTGACTGTCTCTTGATCAGAGCCTCCTGACGCTCGTCGATAAGTTCCTGTTCTTCGCCGAGAAGGTCTTGGGCCGCGGCGATATCCTGAGCAGATACCAACTTATGGTAAGCGGCCCCTTTCTCCACCAGCTCGTCGTGGGTGCCCTGCTCTATGATTCGGCCTTGAGACATGACAACAATGTTATGGGCGTCCTTGATAGTTGAGAGCCTATGAGCAATGATGATGGTAGTTCGACCAGCCGAAGCAGCCTCCAGCGCGGCCTGCACGATGCCCTCAGATTTCGTATCCAAGGCTGATGTTGCCTCATCAAGAAGGAGGACTACACGTAGATAGAGCCATGTTAGCAATCATTATTCAAACTAGAGCAGGATAAAGAAACGAGCTGGCCTTGAAACTGACTTTTCGGGTCACTAACGATGGCGCGCGCAATAGCAATACGTTGCTTCTGTCCTCCCGAGAGAAGGAAGCCTCGGTCGCCGACATTAGTTTCATAGCCCTCCGAGAGGGCAGAGACGAAATCATGCGCATTAGACTTCTTCGCGGCAGCAATAACCATCTCACGCTGCTTCTCCTCGCTTTCGTTTTCAAATTCGGTCCCAACCAGACCATAGCGAATATTCTCAAAAATCGACGTTCCAAACAGCGTAGGCTCTTGGCTAACCAAAGAAATCTGGCGACGAAGCCAACGAAGGTTCAGCTTAGAGATGTCGTGTCCATCAAGGTACAATATGCCTCCCACGGGATTGTAGAATCGCTCAATAAGGCCGACGATTGTGCTCTTGCCGGATCCAGACGCTCCAACCAAGGCGGTCGTCTTTCCCGCGGGAATGTCAAGGGTGACATCCTCCATTACAACAGCGCCAGGCCGTGATGGATAGATGTGTTTGACATTCTCCAGTCGAATGTTACCCTGAACCTCGTCAATAGTCTCCCCCTCTTCACTTGCTGGGTTGATTGGTGAAGCACGGTCAATAGTATCGAAAATTTTGGATGCAGCGCTAACAGCAGAGATGAAAGCTTGAAAATTGGGTGCGATGCTAGTCATGTTGAAAGCGCCCATTATAACAGTCATCATGACAATCAGAGCCTGATTAAGAGAGAGCTCGCCACGCAAGACAAAAGCACTGCCTTGCCAGAAGGCCAGAGCATAACTCATGTAAAGCAGGAACATGATACCGCCCATCATGACTCCAACAGCTGATTTGAGCCTGAAGCCAAAATACTCGGCCTTCTTCAGGTGTTCATCATACTGGTTGGACAATCGATCTTGGGCTCCAAAAGCGACGGCCGTCCGCACGGAGCTGAGGACTTCGTCCGCCAGACCACCACCAAGGGCAGCAGATGTGATGGACTGTGTGCCGTTCTTAAGCATGTAGCTGGAAAATAGGGCTCCATTGAGGATAATGGCGATGATGACGCTCGCGAGGATCAGCGTAAGTTTCCAATAGTTGGCAAACGCAATGACAAAGGCGGTCACAAAGGTCGAAATAGCCCCTATCGTAATTGAAACTTTTTCAGAGATTCCATCTTGTATAGTGTTGGTGTCGGACGTGATACGAGTTACGATTTCTCCCGTGCCAATTTTGTCGAAGAAGCCAATGTTTTGACGCAGACAGCTTTCAAGATAATGCTCTCGGATTCTAGTGGAAATGTTTTCGCCCACGTAGATGAACCCTACCGTAGCGATGTAAGTGACGACAAATTGGCCGATGGCGAGATAAACAAAGTAGAGTACGTATTTGGAAAGCTGATGGCTGAGTTCGCCTTTGTCGATCTGGCCTACTGTGAACTCGGAAAAGGTCTTTTGGAGGCCACCAAACAGCAGGGTCATGATGGGTAGAGCGGCTCCATTTGCAATGGAGCAGACAGACGCAATGATCATGATGAAGATGTCAAGACCAGTAGTATATCGGTAGAGGGCAGCAACACCATGTTTCAAGTCGGGTGTCAGGGCTTGCCTCTTGAGAATTTCAGCTTCATTGTCGGGCAAGTGTCGAAAAGGCTCCTCGGGGTCTTCTTTGACTTCTGGTTCCTTGGAAGGCTTTTGCTTCTTTTCCTTTTTGGCCTTGTTTTTCTTCTTTCCGTTTGAGTCGGCGTCGGGCTCCGCGTTGGCTTCTGGGTCTGCTTTCTCAGCTTCCTTTTTCTCAGGATCTTCTTTCTTAGGATCTGACTTTTCAACATCTGCTAAACCGCAGTCTGCTTCTTCGGTATGCGGCTTGTCGGGATTTGATTTCGCAGCGTCTCCTTTCTCGGAATCGGCCGTCACAAGGTCTGGTTTCTCAAAATCCGACCTTCCAACGCCTAGCTTTTCGGGCTCTTCCTTTTCCGAACCATCTTTTGCTGTTTGATCATGATCTGCCTTTATGAGATCTGGTTTCTCAGACTCCACTGGTCCATGATCGTCTGTTTCCTCTGGCTCTGCCTTGTCAATACCAGTAGAATCAGCCTTTGGCGGAGTGTCTTGTGTGATCGCTAAGCCATTGACAATGTTAGCACCGCCAGGGTCCGTGGAGTGCTCCGAGATCTCTCCCCCAGCCGGCTTTTCAGGTATTTCCGCAACCATAATGGCCGATGGAGGTGAGGTCGCCAAAAGGCGATAACCACCGTGTTGCTTCAGCCGTCAGTCGCCTGTCCGCTGGATATCGTTGACGGTCAATTCCTGCGTAAATAGCGTGTCCCTCGAAACCAATCTATCCGTAGCGCGACGCTCGCAATCCAACGACGATCAGGGCGAGAAGAAAACAGAATGACAATGTAGGATGTAAGGGGAGGGAACCAGCAAAAGGCGAGCTGCACACGACCTACCTGTCCTCCGTGTACATGCTACAATATACATGTACCTGTAGCTTCGGGATCCTTAGCATTACCTGTACCTCCCATTGGATGGAAGTAGAGTACAGGTAGGTGGTACAGTAATACCTGCTGTAAGAAACACCTGTCGGGAGGATGAACCGCCCGCACAGACACATGCCCCCCTCGAGAGAGCACACGTACCGGTACTTTACATTTGATGTAGCTCCTTAACAGAGACAGAAGGCCTCGATAGACGCGCCATGGGCCGAGCTGCCTTGTCGCCCTGTTGCGGTGCTACATTGCTTTGTTTGGCGGGAACTCGAGGCTTGGGAGTCTCTCGACAGGGATGGAGGAATGGTAAAATTCCAGTCATACAGACTTGCACAGCCCATGCAGTGTGCCGCCCTCCATCCCGCCAGCCTCGCAAATGCGCACTGTGCTCGACTTTGAGGTTGCGGGTACGATGCCACACCCACATTGTTTTTGTTTTGTTGCTTATTGCTGCTTGTGTGATTCTTTGCAGAGAATAATTAATGGCAAATGAGAATGTTATTTCGCACTATGTAGCAGGTTCGCTGCTGAAAACTCCCAGAGAGTTGTACGTTGGTGCACCTTTGGGCGCAAGAGAAGTACCTATACTTGTACGCCGTACGCAAAGCTACCTCTGACTTGGCGGCCAGTTATCCAAGACACTGAGAGTTCTTGAATCCGCAATGGCCTCAAATGTTGGCTTTGAGACATGAGGAAGAGTAGTTGAGACAAAGCATTGGTCAATCTCATGAGACCACATCAAGACCGCCAATTCACATCGAATATTGTTAGTCCGTACTCTACGTCCCGTAGTTCACCATCAGCGTTGTCCGGTATCCTGCCTTTGTGTCCTGTCCACAATCACAGATCAAGATCAAGATGATCGTGGAACCAGCCCCGGAGATTGCCGCCCAAGCTGATGGCTGGTATGTACATAGAAATCTTAGCCCGTTTGTCCTTGTTGCACTTCCAATTTTGCTCCTCCTTGCTTCTTTCATCTCGGGTGACTGAGACATGCGACGTGGGCACGGCTCCTTGGGGGGCTTTTCCCGCTCCCTTCCTTTATGTTTGCCTTCCCACTCTGGTTACTCTCAGAAGCCAACCACCAGACGCCATGCTCCCTTTCTCGTTTTTCCTCATTCTGCTCCAACAGTTCTGCTGCAGGGAGCCACTGCATTTGGCCCACAACTACTTGATGCAATCAATCTTTCGTAAGGAGCGCCACGTATTGCCTCTTTGAGAAACAAGGACAGTCAGAACAAGTCATGGCGCGCTTTTGGCTGCCGGGGGTTGCCAGACTCGCTCAGATCGGGCCGCATAGAGACCACTGTTTACGGATCATGTGTACTGTAAATGTGACATTCTCCATCTTTGCCTTATGAGATGCCTTTTTTTTTTCTTCAATCATCTTTTCAAAATCAACTCATTTTCTGCACTTTTACTGCCGTTTCTTCTGGCTGGCACCCGGCTTCTCTCCCTTGGTAGATCTAGATTAAGCTTGCCTTAGCGCGTAATACTACGACTAATATCGCGGCTGACTCAGGCATCCCTGGCCATATTACGCCCGTACCGTGCGTCACGCACTGGCTGCCAATGTCAACTTCAATTGTACCTAACATGCACGTACCGTACCGTCTTGGTCCGTCTCCATCATCTCCGTTAAAGATGCAAATAGCTGTCCAAGATGGAGATTGGATGAAGGAGATGGGCAAATGGGGTAGCTACAGCACCTATACGTGATAATCAGGTACGGATGAGCCCAGGTAAACACCACGCAAATATGGCGGCGAGCTGCTTGTAGGCCTCCCGGCTCATCAAGGCCTTATATTGCCCAATCGAGTTCAGACCGCAGCACAGCGCCTCTTCTCCCGCCATTACCCTCTTCATGTCCATCTTGTGTCATCTTCCACAATGTTCACCTCAATATCGTCCTTCTTAGGCTGGAAAGAAGAAGAGCCAGTGATACAAAGCTACCCACCCGTTACCATTGTTGGTGTCAGGATCCCAGCCGACGGCACTCCCGCCCACCTTCTCCCGCTCACCACAATAAGTGACTCCTCAGCTCCGGACAGCTTCCTCCTCCACGTCCCTGACCTGCGCTCCCATTGGGTTTCGGAACAAGCATGGAGATTGCGTGACCTCCACAGATTCGACCTACAGAAAGATGGTCGTGTCCCGCTCTCGCAGCATCTCCAGCAAGCGGACGACCTCAAGAACCTGCTTCGTCAGCCACAACACCTTAGTCGCGAGCGAATGCTTCATCTGCGGCAACGATATCTTGTTCCTCAGCAGCGCTTCTTTGTACAGCAACACAATCATTATCATTACTGTCTGGGGGCCTACTACGTCTTCTACTCATTTGCAGTCGACGATTTGCCAGTCAACAAATTTGTCCCTCGTTGGATTGAGGAAAATAATGATGTCCACCTCACCCACCGTTATTTTGGAGATGTTTTTGTGGTGAAAATAAGCCAGGATGAGGTTGGACAGGACGGCCGAGCTGCTTATGAAGACGTAGATCCGCTGTTTCTAGATTTCCTGGTTGATGATGCTGCCTGTTCGAAAACACTCATTCCCTTGCTTCACCTACGAGAAGAACAGAAGATGATTGGAGGTCCCAACATTTTCTAAGTACACAGAGTACAGTAAGGATTGCAATAGGTATCGCGGAGTGCTACTAAATTAAGTAGTCTGATTACTACCAGGTGTGTTGGAGAGTGCGGTTCAGCAGTTTCAGCATAAAACTTCAGCTCTCATTAGAACTATATTTTATAAATCTCACACTCCCATTAGCTCCGATTAACCGCTCTCGCTTGTATCAATCAAACATTTTCTAAATCACCACCTAGTCTATACGTAACTACCAAATACCTACTCATATCTTCGTACATCTGGAAAATAACGTCAAGCCAATTGCTACAGGGTATTCTGTATTGTTGGCTCACCGAAACTTCACCTCAGGCAGCAGCACCAACTCGGTCAGGCCGCCAATCAGAGGCAGCACGGCACCTTCCAGCTCACTACCCGATTCATTCATAAGAGACTCTAGGCACCTTCGCCACCACATCACAAAGCATCAGGACATGTGTCCTCTTTCATAGCGTGAGCAAAGCTTCAACCACAAAAAGTTGTGTCATTGATCCTTTGCCATCGACCTCCTTCTCTGATCATCAACCCAGCACAACTCCATCACAGCTACAACGCGCATTGCGTCATGGCGCTGTGATGCCCCTCTAACATACACACATCCAACCAAATTTCAACCTCCATCAAAAAGCTTCATCACCAAAACAAAACATGCATCTCGAAACTCTCCTCCTCGCCTTCACCCTCCCGCTCCTCTCCCTCGCCGCCCGCCCCAACAAAAACGCAATCCTCCTCTCCGAAGTCCGCACCCTCACCCTCCGCGGCAATGGCGCAAAAACCACCTCCCGCCGCGTCGCCCCCGTGCCCCAGCTCAAGTGCATCTCTTCAAAGGCCGTCTGCGACCTCTTCCAGATCGACGTCATGCGCTGCACCAACCAGGGCTCCTCGTACGGCACCGAAGACATTGAATGGAGCTGCAGCGCCTCTCTGCCTGAGGAGTTCAAGCTCGGCAGCACCGACGTCATCTGCGAGGGCTACGCTTCTTCTGACGATCCTTATGTACTCAAGGGCAGCTGTGGCGTCGAGTACAGGTTGATACTCACCGACAAGGGCGAACAGCGGTACCCGGATGTGGCTAATCCAAATGGCCGCTGGTTCAGCGACGGCGAAGGAGGAACGGATCTGGGAGCCTGGGCGTTTGCAGCCATCTTCTTCGCGGTCCTCGGATGGATTGTCTATTCAGCATGGCGTAATGGGACCAACCCCGGCCAGAGAGCTCCAGGACGACGGGGTTATGGTGGAGGAGGAGGCGGCGGCGGCGGCGGCGGTTGGGGCCCAGGTTGGGGTCCAGGTTGGGGTCCAGGAAACGATCCGCCACCACCTTATCCAGGCACAAAACCTGATGAGACCCAGCAAGGATGGAGACCTGGATTCTGGAGCGGCCTTGCCGGAGGAGCAGCCGCTGGCTACATGGCTGGAAACCGAAACAATAGGCGGGAAGAGAGGTATCCCACACGGGGATGGGGTGCTGGGCCTTCTGGGTCACAGCCCTCGCCGTCATTTGGCTCTGGCTCGAGCTCCAGTTCAAACTCGTCCAGATACGAAAGCACAGGTTTCGGTTCGACGCGGCGCAGATGAGATGGCTGGCCGTATGTAATATCAGGGCCGAGTTTATCGAGGCACCAAGTGCTGGCAGAGTACCTGGTAACGAAATGAAGGCACAAAATAAGGGACAAACAAAACTAATATAAGGGTCAGAATGGCGCCGAGTTTGCCGGCTTTTCTCTTATCCAACCCGACCTCGCTCCCCATTGAGCTCTCTTGGGCAGTGGGCTAGCATCTGCCTATCATGTTTCATATTATGTACATTGGTGGAACATTTCCCATATCCTTCTTGCTCGTTAAACGTACACTGAAGCCACATTGTCCAACCCGCCTACCCCCTATAACCCCTTCCGAAAAAAATAAGAAAGAAACAATAACAAAGAGAAAAAGATAACAAACAAACAAACAAACAAACAGCAAATCAGTAACAGAAACAGCCTCGGCCGCGGATCCAACCGCTAGCAAACACCCCTCTTGCGCCAGTTAACACAGTGAAAGAGCTCGTAAAAATCCTCTAGTCGTGTCCCCCCCCCCCGTAGATCCAAATGCAAAATGACCAATGCAGAATAAAACAGTACGGAAAGAATGAATACAACTTCTGGACGATACATGACGGTGCTCATTGGTTCATCTCAGAGCGAATGATGCTGATGGGCTCATTTTTAAAAGTGAACCTGCATGACATCCATCTTGTCAAACGCCCTCGAGCAGCTAGGACATTTCCGCATACGGTTGCTTATGCGGTCATCCACACATTTGTTACAGAAAAGGTGGCCGCAAGTCTTGAGCGCGGTGTTTTTGAAGTTGGTGCGGCAAACCGTACACAAGGCCATGGTCTGTTGAATTCGCGAGTCAGAATGAGCAAATCATGGGGGAAAGAAAAGAAGAGCAATTCCGCAAGAAACTTGTAACGTACCCGTAGCATGTCTTCCTCCTCTGAAGAGTTGCTCAGCGCCTTGTTCTTCCAGTTATCCCGGTCCTTCTGCATATGCTCAATTCGAACCTTGAGCTTCTCCACTTCAACCTCTTGCATTGCGTTTCGCTCTCGGATAACAGCCGTTGATGCGTCCTTTGATTTGACCAAGTTGGTCAGGTCGCCCACTTGCTTCGTGACGGATTCCGACTTTCTAACCGCCTCCAGGCTGTTGGATTCCATTTTCTTGCTTTCGGCGACCAGCGCCGCATTGGCCTGCCTCAAATCCGCCGATTGTTTCTCCAAATTGGACAGCAAAGTCCGGGTCTGAGACTCAAAGTCTTTCAACTGGGCAATCAGTTCGGCTGACTTCCCGCTCTGGTGTCTCAAAGTTCTGATCTCGCTGTTTCGAGTGTCGGCATCCTTCCGAGCAGCAAAGTACTTTTGATCCGCTTTGCTCTTCTCAGCAATGAGAATAGCCACCTTCTCCTCCAAAGCAGTGAAATCGAGCACCTTCTTCTGAGCAAGATCCTTCATCTTCTTGTACGCCTTCTCCATTGCCGGTAGCTCTTGGTTAATGGAGTCGAAATCTTGCCTCAGCTTCTTGTATCTTTGTCGCAGGTCCTCCTCTGGAATATCGTCCACGTCGCCCGCATCACCAGATTCTTCATCCCCTGCCGGTTTCAAGCGAGCAAGTTCCAATTCTAGCGCAGATATTCTGTCCTCCTTTGCTACCACAAGCTCTTTGATGTGCTCCATTGCAATCCGTTCCTGCTCTGCGTTCGCCCTGCGCTGCATGTTTTCTGCGAGTATCTCGTCCCGAGCAGACCGCACGCGAGTCAGGTCCTGGTCTCGTGCCGCAATATCTGCTTCATAGTCTTGTGCTACCTGGTTCATGTCTGCTTCGAGCTGGGTGCGGAATGCTGTTCGCTCTGCTTGGAGCTTCTCCGCCTCCTCGCGCAACTGCTTGTTGGTGGCTTCCAGAGTGTTGATCCGCTTGATGAGGTCCTCGTTTTGACTCTTAAATTGCTTGAATACATCCGTGCGGATATAATCTTCGTCTGACAGAGTTTCTCGCCGGGATTTCAGACTTGTGTTTTCCTCTTGCAAGGTTTTGAGATCTGCAAGAAGCGTCTCCAGCTGTTCCTTTTGTTTCATCGCAGCCGCTGTGGCCTCTTCATATTTCACCAACAACTCGTTTGCACTGCCGTTTGGTTCACTGGGTTCTGATCCTCCCTCGGTGGGCGTAGACGCGGGCCGTGTAGCATTAGCAAATGCCTGCTGCTCTAGCCTCTGAACCTGCGCGCTCTTGGCACGGTCGAGCTTCTTCTCGGCTTTGAAATACCTAAGCGTCGCGGCGTTGAGTTGCTCTGACATTTGTTCCTTTTCTGCGCTCAACCGGTCGAGCTTTAGGAGGTATTCTTTCTGGGCCGCTAGGAGACTGGCGATTTGACTTTCTAGCTCAGTTGTCTTGGGTGAAATATTTTCCCTCTGGGCCGCGAGTTGGGTAAGCAGTGATTCGGCCTTGGCTTTGATCGTCTTCCCTCTTTCCTGTAGGTGAGCTTGGAAATCATGTAGGTTTTTGAAGCTCACGGCCGTGAGATATGGAGTGTCTGATTCCTCAAGAGTTAGAATAACGATCATGCAACGAACGGAATATGCATATCCAGTGATTGGGCTTACCCCTAGCGTCCGCAGTCGGTACTTTGGACGTAACCAACAATTCGAGTTCTTCTAAACACTACGCCATTATTAGTCCAACGGCGTGTGGAGGATGGCGAACTAGACATTGTGCTCGGAATTGCATACCTGTCGCCACCAAGCGTCAATAATTCGTAAATGATCGTCATGGTGGACGGATCGTTTGTGTAGCTCTTCCAGACGCGATTCGGCTGTCGACGCCTTACGACTGTACTCCTGCATTTGCCGATATATCGCTCCCTTTGTATATGCCTGATATACCTAGTCAGCGCCATGTGCCCCTTATATATCGCGATAGTCGGTGTATAGAAATGACGAGGAGGGTAGAATCACGGTGGACGCAGCGCGCGGTAGGGTGAAGGATATGCAGAGCGGATTTTTGAAGTTTTATTTTTTGGAAAGCAAAGAAGCCGCTGACTGCTCTCGCTAAGCAATGAGCAACATCACTGGCTTGGTGAGCACTATCATCCAGCAACGAGGCCCCAACGAGGGCTGCAGCTGACAGGGCGGGCGAGCAGGTTGAGTGCGGAAAATGGCAAGGCAAGGCGTTTTGGGACAGTGGCGAGACGCAATCCGCCAAGTCGGGGGCGTCTCGCGGGATGGATGGGGACTGGGGCAGTGGGATCATGCGACACTTACTTCGATCCAGGTGTCTTCCTTCATGTCCGTGTTTTCATCCTTGGCCTTGGACCCATTGATGGCAACCCTCTTGCTGGGAGGAGCCAGGTCGTCGACGCCGCTGATGGCGGGTCTCTTCCTGTCCTCCATCTTGACGAGCGTGGATGGACGAGGCGAGGCAGAGGGGGTCGTTGCAACAGGCATGAGA